ATTTTTTAAACTTTTTTAGAGCAGCTTTGTTGGCTTTAGAAAATAGAGAAGGAGCTATGGAGGAAGGATTCCTGAAATGTCATCCATGTTTTGAAAAGGGGAAATTTTGCATTTTCATTTTCAAAATCTCAGCTTTAAAAGGAACATAGTCTGCTGGGTAAGGAAGAAAATGTTAAAAGCAGGCAAAAGAAATAACCTTAAACATTACCTAGTTCCAGTTTGTATTTGAACTTGTGCCTTGGGCTTTGATTTTATATTTAATACTGCTTTCTGGGTCTAATTGCTCCAAAGAAAGCGTAATAAAAGCTAAAGAAAGAGATTACATAACAGAAAAAAAAAAAAAAAAGTCTAATTGTGGTTATATCTATTGGTTAAATAAATCATTCTCTGAAGTTCATTTGTGGTGAACTCCAGAAGAAATGAGATGTTTCACATACAGAACATTTTTAGAGGTTACTTCTGGGTACCATCAATGGGAGTTCAGTGCTCCTGAGCTCCTTGTCCTTCAGGGGTCTTACCTTTCTCTCCAGCTCTCCATACACATGCACAGAGTGATCTCAGGAGATTGGAGCAAGTGGCAGAAGGTGGATGCTCTGTCTCCTTTCAGAAAAAAATCATGTTTCTACCCTGTCTCTGAAGGCAAAGAAACCACATGTGGTCTGTGAAGTGGTTCTCCTGCTGTTACTTGAAACACATTTTAAGTGCTACTTAAAACACATTTTATTCCCAAATTGTTGAGGACATCTAGGCTTTCACATTGTGTATTTGGGGCAATGAACCCTTGTGGTTTTACGTTAAAGCAGAAATCCTGATTTATATTCCTCATCATGCAGCTACTTTTCCACTTTTGAGCAAGTTCTAAGTTTTCTTATCTCTCTATAAAAAGTATTATGACAGCAAGTTCTTGTCATCAAGACACGTTATATGGCTAATTAACTTATATTTGCAATGTCTTTTTTATGGCACTTGTATGAAAAGCCTTACATTGCTGTTGTAATGAGTTTGCTCTCTTCCTATCAACTGCAAATGAAGCAGTGGCTGTTTAATACTGAAGCATATTTCTACTCTTAATTACGGGCTAGATTATTATCACTCTCAGCCCAGCTTGGAGGTACTCTCTTCTTTGCAATATCCATTTCTCAGGTTTGTGCTGTTAGGTTCAGCTAATTTATTTTTGTAATTGGAAAGGAAGTAAGTTTGAGGAGGCATCACTGTGCTTCATCTTGCCCATCAGGGCTGAATAGCTTGTGGTCATTTGAATGTGTTAAGTATCCCGGAGTGCAGTCAGGAAAAGCACTGTAAAATGTAAATTGCCTTGCACTGAAAATGTAGCAGCTGTTAGGAAGAATGAAGAGCAGGACTGAAACAGAAAGTGAGCCTCAGCTCAAAGGCTGTGCTCAGTGAGTGCCATGGGCCTCTCAAACCAGGCACTAATCCATTTCTGACTCCTAGTATTTGCAACACCCTATTTCTTTCATATTATTTGGAAGTTAATTACAGGGCCCATCAGCTTTTTTGGCTCAATAATATTTCAGTGAAAAGTATTTAGGCATTACGTGACTGGTTGCAAGGGAGATTATCAAGAAGTCAGAGAAGTGTAATAATCAAGGGATTTTTTGTTAATAAAGAACTTGATGAAAAACAAATTAGTTGACAGTACACCAAGTTGAAATATTGCTGATGGCAAATTTTGAACTTAATTAAAAAAAAACAAGCTTGAAGAAATGTTAAAATTTTCCATAACACAAAAATTCAGCAGAAAATTTGTAAAAATGTAGTCTCCAACTCACCCTTTTAGGTGTGCAGATGAACCTCACTGGTATATAGCATCTGAATGCTTCAGTCACACTATTTTAAAATCTGAATCCAGAAACCATTGTGTTTGAAGTTAAAACTCGATGAATTCATTGCAATGAAATCCACATCTATCCATAGCTGCATTTCACCTTTCTATGCCTGTTCAGGAATCATATTAAGGTGAAACCACAGCCTGTGCTTTGTTTGCTGAGACGGTGCCTGGCTGTGCTCCTGGTGTGCCAGGACAGAGGCTGCTGTGCAAGGCACACGAGGTGCTCAGTGTGTGGCACCCCGAGGTAGGGCAGGCACAGCTGGGCTGGCACTGCCAGGACCAGCCCTGCAGCACCCAACTTTCCAGAGAGGACTGCAATCTAGATCCTGCCAGATCCTTTCACCAAGCAGCAGCTGGGAATCCATGCATCATCCTGCAACTTGCAGACTGAAATTCATGGCTCAGGGGGCAGGCTTTCCCTCCAAAGCACACGGGGTCTTGTTCCCATACTGATTTTTCCCAGAATCAAGTTTTTTTTTCCTCTTGCCAAGTAATGTATATTTCAGCCGACATGGTGCTTGTGGGCAGAATAGAGAAGAGCTCGTTTTGTATTCATGTTTGCGTTCCCAAATGGAACATTCACAAAATAATGTTAATGCAGCATAGGAAAATTGTTTCACATTTGCTTTCCTTCGTGTGCTGTGCTCATGGATTGTCTGAAGATTCCCATTGTATGCATTCAGCATGAAGACATGCATCAGTGCCACAGCATTTCCCTGATTCTGCCTAGTATGTTTTTTAAATGAATATGATGCACATGTATTTTGCCTCAGGAAAACAAATTCATCCTCACAAACAACAACCAAGAAGAGAAGTGTATCTTCATCTTGATAATCCCAACCCAAAGTGCAAAAACATCATAGATTGGGTCTGCAAAAAACATATCTTTAAAAATAATGAGAATAGGAAAATATATAATACGTTGATTTTTTTTCTCCTATTATTTCTTTTTTTGCTTTGATTATTGGGACACACTACAGGTGTGTTTCATTTTTTTTTTAAGCATGAATTCTAGAAACGTTTTTTGAAAGAAAAGTTTTCCAGTACTTCTGCCTGTTTTTCAGTCAAAAAGTCAGATTTGAATAAATGCATCATTACTTATTTTGACCTTCATAATAAGGCCATGAAGGCAAGGGTTTGCCATATTTTTTCAGGCAAAGAAACATGGCACATAATAAGCAAATCAGGGTTTTGTAATGAAAACTCTTTTCAGCAAGATGTGCAATTCCCTTACAGTCTACTGAAAATGCCAAGCAGAGATGAGTTCCTAATCCAAGTTTGTTGTTTGGGATCTGTAATTGAAGAGATTCATATCACCAAATTCTTTCTGTCTTGTAGGTGTCTAACCTAAATAATCTGCTAAGGCTGCTCTTGGGGTTAACAGAGTGACAGGAACCTTCAGACTGCAATTCATTCCATCTGTCATAGACACTTATCCTGAGGAAGAGTGAGTTTCCCCAACATTCCCTGCTTTTACAGGAAGCTTGGGACAAATCATTCCCACCTGTATTTTTCAGACAGCTGAGGTCAGTTGTGAGGGATCTCACTACAAATCCCTTTCTGAGCACCACTGCCCCCATGTGTGAGCTGGGCTTGCAGTCAGAATATAAACCAAACCCTGAGGGCCATGTACCAACCTGGTTCCTGAAAAAAGAGTTAAAAACGGATGCAAACTTGTGCTTCTATGCATTTGACAGCTTATGAAACAATTTAGTTTGTAATACATTTGCTTAAATGAAAACCTGATTAATTCTACTGTACTGACTTATTAGAACTAATAGGTTTTGTTACATGTGTTGCAATTTAAGCATTGTTAATTATTCAGAGCTGAATATCACAAAACATTTGTCATGAATATTTGCACACATTTTAAACAAAATTGTCCTTGGCAGTGTTTGTAACAGTTAAATATTTGATTTTCATGTATATTTGGGTGAGACAATTTTCTTTTCACGAATATCAGCAGAAAGTGAATCTCACATGGTAATCCATACAAATATTTATTTAAGAGAATAGTTGTACCTGAAATATACTTTCCAGAATTTTCAAGAATCACCGAGGTGAATGGTCACACAACCAGCAAAGCAATTTGAAGTGTATTAGTCACTTCTACAGATGCCACCAGGGGGAAGATGGGAATGACAGTCATTGGATAGCACCACATTCCATTGAAAAATGCCTCAATTGCCACTTGGTAATATGTAAAGCAATATAATGTAAACATAATAATAGCATAAAAATATTAACTTAATATACATTCCAGAATATCCACATTCAGGGAAACAATTCTGGATCTCCTAGGTTGGCCTGCCATTGAGACATCACACTGTGCATTACACAGTACTTTGTCCCTGCACTGTGTTGGCTCCAGCTATGCAAACTTGCCTGGAGTGAGGCTTCCAGTGTCCCCATTTGACACAGGGGGAGCAATGTTAAACTTGTCAGAGAATGAAAGCCTTTGACAATAGTCTTTCATGTCACACAATGTTTGATACTCATCCTGCCATACTTTGGATTCCCACGGCATAGGTATAGGCACCTAACTTTACCTTAACTCTATAATTACATGGTCAAAAATCTCCTGTTTCCTCATTGCTTTGAGAACCTGTTGCTTCCTACACATAAATCAGTTGAATATCCTTTCAGCTGAACCTGTTACTTTCCAAGAGGACCCAAATTCAATCTGGGGATGGGAAGCCCCAGAGACAATTTCATATAAGCAATAAGTGGTTGTGGGGGACACAGCTCCCAAGTACAGAAAGAAAGGGTCACAGTTCCAAATCACTTTTCAGAGTGCAGAGCACATGCCATTATCCTCCTGATACCAATACACCATTCTTTGTGACCCAGCCACTGTCGCATTTCAGTCATTTTGAATTAGGAAAAAAAATCACAAAGATAATCATGATGTTCTAGGGCCAAGTGCTCAAATGTGTGAAATCAGACTGTTTGTGCTAAAGTGGGCAGTCCTGAGCAGTGTGGACATGATACACCCTGGCACCAAACTACAACTTCTTCAGATGCGTGAATGGGGCTATTACTCCCCATTTTCAATAAAGGGATTTCAGACACCTGGATCATTACTAGCTAAGGATAGGTGAGATAACTCCCTATTGCCTTGGATGACATATCTCTGTTTTTGCCTTTTCAGGAGAGGTAAAACCATTAGGAAGAAGATCAAGCCAGTGGGATGAACCAGCAGCTGTTGAGCGAGGAATGCACTGGCAGTTTCTCAGGACTAAAGTGAGCTGGTGTGTGAATCCAATGCCTGCTGCTCTTTGAGCTACTGCCTGGACCAATAAACCTCCTGTTAAAATGAGCCTGCTGTGACTGTTTTGTTGGTATTTTTAATTTAAACAATAGCTAATTAAATATGAAAGCAATTAGTATTTCTGTTCAAACAGCTGTCATGTAATGTCTGGTGCTGCAGTTATGGTTCCTTAGCATCACTGCAAATGGTTTAGAAGCAAAGACTTTTGGGGAGTAGAAGGAGAAATAGAGCAATATTTACTATGGGCATTGAAAACCACTGGCAGGTGCATTTAGCTTTTGCTGCATCAACATACAAGCATGTGGGATGCTTATAAACATAAATATACATTGGATTATGGTGGAACTTTAAGTAACATTAAAATATACAAGAGAAAAAGAAACACAGTGGCTTATGTTGGTTTTCAGCTTTACCCATAGATTTTCCTGCACAGGGTCTCAAAAGGTCAGTGGAAAACAAAAGTATCATGGTCTTCTTCCATGCTTGATGTCCTTCATACAGCCCAGTTTGATGACAGCAAAAAAAAAAAAGACTGTAAGGAACTAGTGAGGTGTGAAATCAGGAATTCCTGTTCTACTCTTGGCAGCAAACTGCAGTTTACACAAGGAAAAGATAAAGCACTCAGCTTACCTACACTTCCTATCCTACCCTGAAGGTAGTGAAGCATCAGGGCTCTCCAGGGATCTGGTTTTACAGAAGCCATCCTGGCACAGGCAGGAGCTGCAGCAGCCCGGGTGCAGGCAATGAATGCAGCTCCTCATTGGTACCCTGGCAATCTGCATCTCCTCTTTCACCCCTCACAGCCCTGCATGCTCCTGCAGCCCAGGGCCTGTGCTGCAGCTGCAGGCAGGTGTGTCAAACAGCAGTCTGTGGGATCCACACACCTTCTCTCTGCTGTCTTTGTCCAGTCTTCCTGCTTTAGAGCATGGCCTTGTAGGTTTTTAAAAGCACAAAGTTGTACAACTGCTGCATTTGCTATTAGGGTTTGTATCCTGGACAACTGGAGCTACACACTTGTCTCTCATTTTACATGTAGTTCAACCTGGATTTTTGTATTCTGAACTGTGAAGTGCACTTATCAGAATCATTTTTTTCAAAAACTAATAGCAAATGTTCCAAAATATTTTAGGCTCTTATTGATATTATCAGGACTTTCTGTGTTGAACCATGTGTTGAACTAATTTAATTATACAGTTAAACAGAACTGCCATTATTACAAATTCCATTCTTGTATAAGAATATGGAGGAAAAAATACTCTTAAAGCAGACCTCTAGCTGGTCTAAATAAGCAGAGTTTCCTACAAATTAAAAGCTCAATTTCATTTACCGTGACTGAGAACCAAGCGTACTTCTCCTTTGGTTGGCAAGCATACAAAAGAACCTCATTACTTCCAAGTTTTTTATTGTGAATAAATAATTGGCATTGATCTATGTTCAGTCACCTTCTATACATTATTAAACACTTGTTTACTAAACAACCTTTACAGTTTAAAAACAAGTAAAAACTTCACTGAAAAATGAATCAAATCTCTGTATAAAATCAACCTAAGGAGTATAGAGGTAAGGTGAATGAAGTTCATTTAATTAAAAGATTGCTTGAGGGGAGACATTGGCAGATCAATTTTTTAAGTTTGTGGAATTACACACTGATATGCAAGTTTAAAGCTGCAGCCTCTGATTGCAAAATATAACAAATGGGAAACATTATATATTTATGAATCATTCAATATCTTCCCTCCCTTTTTTCAGCTGGTTTACTGGGGAAAAAAAAAATCCATTCCAAGTTGTGACAGCCTGAGTTAAACAGACATTACCAATATATATATAAGAAGGTGTTAACGTACTTTTCAACATGAAATTCTAATTGAAACTTCCACACAGTGGAAGCCAGGGAGCAATTTGATGGCCTGGGGACATGCAGAAACTACTTTATAAGAAATTGCCTTTCTGATAGTGAATATTAACTGATTATTTTTTAGGTTCATAATTTATTGAATAGTTTCTTTCATTTATTTGTACTTGGGGAATTTTCAGAACTTCCTGAAACTTTGAACCTTTTAATTTCTTATTAAGGGGTACATGTAAAAAAAATATGCACAGTGGAAATGTTAAAAAAGTTTTAGTAAAAAGTCCTTTTAACTAATCAATAGTCTGAGGACTAGAGGTCTTCCAGTGCATATCCTTAAGCCACAACATATTAAGACACAAAGGCTTTGGAAAATTCTATAAAGCCTATAACAATAATAATTGTAAAAAATGCAGTACCTTGGAATTTTAAGTATTAGTACAGTGATCATATAAATGGCCTTTTATGGGTACATATAAAATGGTATTATTTTTATTAATATTACTATTATTGTTTATTATTATTGCAGCATAACACAATATGTGCTCTAGTTAAAGGTCCCTTTGCATTTTCATTACATATCCCATTTTTGTTGGGGTTTATGACTCAGTCATTAAAATTCTCCACAGGCTAGAAATTGGCAAAGGAACTCACATTTTAAAGTAATCAGTTTAATGAAAAAAATAGAATGAAATTAATCTGGTTGGTTAGAAAAATGGTTGGGGAACTCACTACTCCATTAAGTAGTACCTTGAATTTGTTTATTACAATTCTATTTTTAAATATCACATATTTCTTGGAAGCAAAGCCACGAGCCTATTATTTGGTCCTGTTTCAGTGTTTGCCTGGGGACTAGGAAGTGATTTACATCCACTCAAACTTGTGCAAATCACTTGTTTTAATTTGTGGTATCTTATATGAGTTCACGTATCTGAATTTTGAACATTCAGCACAATGAGAAATTTGGCTTCTTGAGTTATGGTGCTAAAGCTCTACTTGTCAAGTTTGTCTGCCACACAATGTTGGAACACAGGGCAGTAATCCCAGAACCAGCACTGCTGCAAATCAATATGCACAAAAACAGACCTTCTATTTTTGATCATTCTTTACTACAATTCTCCCACATCTTTTGTCTGACTCCTAACAATATTAATTTCTTCTTCATATATAACTACCTTGATGTGGATTGATGAAACATTTAATTGCTTTAGTTTTCAGTCCTACAGAGTCACAGAATCATTCACGTTGGACTTCAGGGTGTCTGTAGCCCAATCTTGCTAGAAGCAGGGTCAGGTGTGGTGCTCTGAAAGGCTGCTCAGATCCTTAACCAGTCAGTCTTGAAATCCTCCAAGAACAGAGGCTGCAGAGCCTCCATAGGCAGCCTGTTCCAATGCTGACCCCTCTAAGAAACATCTTATTTTGAGGATGAGCAAGCCCAGCTCCCTCAGCCTCAGTACTACAGCAAGGGCTCCAGCCCCTGACTGTCTTGGTGGCCCTCCATTGGAGTAACTGCAATTTATCAACATCTTTCTTTTATTATAATGCCCCAAAGTGGACGCAGATGCAGTCTGAGAGATGAGGAGAAAATGGCAATCACTTTCTCTCATCTCCTGGCTGTGTCCATGCTCATGCAGCCCTGGGTGCTGCTGTACTGCCCTGCTGGCACCACCTCCCTTTCCATCCGTCTCCACGGGATCTTTTCCGTGCAGCCGGTCCCCAGGTCCTGTGACTGCCAGGAGTTATTCTTTTCCAGGCACAGGGGAGAAAGTCATTTGCCATCTGTGGGTTAATGACTGGTTTGTTATTGAACCTCTTGAGAATTTTTGTTGTTTCTTTCACTCACTGCCCAGAGTTAACCAAATTATCTTCAACTAAACCCAGTAAGGGGATAACAGATACAGAGGTTTCAAAGTCTAGCCATAAATCAGGCATGGTTGAAATTATTTCATGCTTTTATGTTATATTTCTATGGAAAATAATAAAAAGTACTATATACCTTCTTTCCATTGCAATCAAATTTTTCTAAAATAAACCCTATACATTATTTCATATATATATTTTTATATATACATATATACATATGTATATATATATATTCATATATACATATATATATACATATATACATATATATATATATATATATATATATTTACAAAATATTATAATTTTGTGTTATTTCACTCTAATCTGTCCTAAGGGATCTCTTGACAAGAAACTGAGTTACACTTACCTTCAGAGGCAAGTTGTAACACCAGGTAATTGATAAAAACTTGCTAAAGTCAAGACAAATAATACTTTTCTCATTTTACCCACAAAATCAGTATTTTATTTTATCATAGAAAATACTTATGCTGTTCAAACTTTTTTAACACTTGAGAAATCAGTTCTGACTGTTCCCAGTAACCTTCTTCTCCTCTATCTGCCCAGAAATGTGTTAAAAGGCCATTTATTGAATTAACTTTTTAGGGACAAATGTGATGTTGACTGATCGTTCCCAATTGCCCCTTTGGGTTTTCCTAATGTTGGCAATGTACAAATTTTCCTATTTATAAAAATGACTACGTAACAACAAAAAAAAAAAAATAGTAAAAAAGAGTCCTTTTAACTAACCAATAGTCTGAGAACCAGAGGTCTTAACTAATTTGAAATGGAATTTATATTTGTTTTTATGTAAGTGATTATAAGGAAACAAACATTCTTTTGCTCTATTGTGCAGAGAAGAACAAGACCATAGTATGTGACTAGGAGCCCTCAAATTATTGGGACATATATCACAAGCATTGAGTATTACTGACAGCAATGAGATTCATGTTCCTGGGCACAAACTGGAAATAAATTTATGTTTGTGCACTAGAAAATCTGTTTGTGTATATGTGTGCATGCTTGAAATATTTTGCTTTCTGTCATTTAAAGACCTTATTACACCAGTAGGAGGAGAAGCCATTTATTCTGGTTTTGGATCTAAGAACATTGGAATGAAGGAGGTTTTTGGCTCAAGGGGTCCCTTGGTGTCACAGGCTTAGCATCATATCATCAATTTCATATTGCAATGCAACTCTTCCCTTATTTTATACATAACCAGTGGATGTGATTTATTTTCCTTTTTTTTTACATTCTTCTTTGTGTGTAAAGACTGTTATATCATCTGCAGTATGAATATCTTTGGTTTAGTTATATCTTTGGTAACTCTTCTGTTCC